CTTTAAGTTTACATCTTTATATTATTTAGATCCAATGAATACGTGCAGTATTGTTATTAACGCAAAATCGATGTATTATCGATTTTTTTATCGACTTAACCGGGGTCGTTAGTTATTTTACAGTCGTTAGATATGTAGTATTATTATATACAAATAAAATAAATAACAAGTATAAAAATCTTTAAAAAATTTTCTCTTTTTTTTTTTTTTAATTTTAAGTATAAACTTTATAATATCAATGTTTATTGAACAATGCATCTCAATAAATTGTAGGTGTTCTACTGTTTTCTTCTGTTATTATTCTTCTGTTTTTATTGTTTTTGTTATTTCAAGAATTATTCTAAAATACACAGTTAAGATTATTTATTATTTTGATGTTAGGGTGACGCGGTATTTAATTCTAGTGGCTAAAGGTGACATGAATGAAAAAAGGATAAGAATCACTGGTATAGAGAATATTCCTACGCTTGTAAATGGAGATTCTTACAACAAATTAAGACCAGATTTGGCAAGAGATAAAGAATATTATGCCTCCCGTGTTAAAAAAGAACCAGAAGATCGAACATATGAATGAGAACGTGAAGGTCGTAATCGGTACCGTGAAAGAGATCGTGATGGTGAACGTGAACGAGAACGTGATTGGGACAGGAAACGTAGTAAACACAGAGAGAATGGTGTTGAAAGTCCAGAAACAACCTATAAAGAAGAAAAGAAATATAAACACAAGTCTCATCGTCATCGTTCTAGAAATCGTAGTCATAAAAAACGTTCTAGGAAACACAAGTTTCAAAGTCGGAGTAGGTCTAGACATTGTCACAAAAAGAAGAAAAAGAAGTCTGAAAAGAACAAGGAAGAGGATAACAATGAATAATTTATACTTTTGCTAGTGATGTTAATGTATACAATATTTTATTAATATTATTTTCACGTAATTTCTTTAAGTTGTTAATGGTAATTAAAGGGTCATTGCAACTGATTTTGTGTTTACCTAAAGTATATATTTCAATAAAATTAAACATCGAAAATTAATGATTATTGAAATTTGAAATAATAAATATAAAACCCTACAAAATAATGCATATAATAATAATAATACTAATACTAGTAATACTAGTACTAAAATTTACCCAATTAAATAATAACATTAAAGATAGTAATTTATTTATTTACTTATCCTATAGGCTATAAGTTACCTATCAATAGGTTTAATAGAATAATAATATAAATCTAATTAAATAAATACTTATAATTTTATTATTTGTACATTTGATACTTTACAAAACGTATTTATAAAAAAATAAAATTGTATCTCAAATATAATGTACCGTAGTTTAGGGTGAATAAAAAGAAATATAAAATATACAAAATACAAAGTTTATAAGGTTCGCGTAATAACGATTGTCATAAACCGGGGAGGAGCCAGTGTTTCCCAACTTTTAATAAACCGTGAACGTGTATTTAAAAGAAAATATTATATGATTTCTGAGTACAAAATAGTAAATAAAAATTTACTATTTACTGATTTTAGCATTTGATCATCGGACAAAGAATTTCCGACTTTTTAAAATTTCTTAGAGTGAGGCATTTGCCATAGTCTGCCCCCCCCCCAAATGACGCCCCTGATATCAATGCTGTTATTAACCATAGCAAAAAACAAGCACACATGTATGCGAACATACACCTCATTATCAAAAGTACATTTGTAAAATAATAATAAAAATATTTACATATTTATATGATATAATACAAATTTTGTTTTTTATTTATTTTTGAAAAGTGAAATCATGTGGGTCGCGAAAGATTTTTTGGGGGAAATTTGGGTCGCGATACAAAAAAGATTGAGAACCACTGTTATAGATGTTACTAAAAATGCAATATTCACCATTGATAATAGGTCCTGCAGCTACCCCTCGAGGTTTCCGCTCGCTGTGTACAGTGTAACCCAGTGCTTTCCAAACTTTTTCGACTCACGGCGCCCTTTTTGATTTAAGGTTTTTCAGGGCACCCTTCTCTAAGACATAGCATGACTAATCATAAGGAAAATGTTAAACCCGATAGTATTTCATGACGGCGCTGCGCCTTTATACAAAAATCGCGACACACCGGGGCGCCGCGGCGCATACTTAGGGAACATATGGTGTAACCTATACATCAGGGGCGGCCAAACGGTGGATCGCAATCGACCGGTCGATCATGTTAAAATTTATTTTTAGGCCACGTGCACAAAAATAATCGTGGTGGTCATGAACAAATTGTCGATAAGTTTTACCTGTAAAGTTTTATTTTATTCTGGTTTATAAAAAAAATTTCTAAGAAAGTCGATCTTCAAAGGTGAAGTATATTTTCAGTAGATCGTGGCCGAAAAAAGTTTGGCCGCCTCTGCTATACATGGTACACGTATACATTTGGTAAAGAAAAAAACTCAAATATTTGTATGGTAAATAATATTATTTTTCTTCGATTTTCGATACCGTTATTTATTCCTATACAGTGGCGTATTTTCAAATTTTTTGTGGGGGGGGTGGGTCTAAATATTAAGTACCTATAAATTTATAATATAAAAAAAACACATACGAGTTATGATGTAAATATGTAATAACTATATTATTTATATTAAATTATGTATATTTCACTACTATTATGATTTATTAATACAAATTAATAGTTTTTTATAATAAAAAAGGTAAACGTCTTTTTTTCCTCGCCAGTTTTTCAATAACTTCTTCCGGTTTTATTGAGTAGTTTTTATTTATTGATAACATCACTAAACCGTTCAATCTTCCCTATAAACAAAAAAATAAACAAAGTGTTTAATTGTAATGTGTAAATAACAAGAATATTTTTTTAAGTTTATAATAATTTATCTCTGACATGGAATTCCTTAGATACGTTTTTATTCTTTTTAAATTTGAAAATGTTCTTTCCTTTGTTGCAGAGAAAACAGGTAGCGTGACTAAGATTTGAAGAAGTTTAAATAAGTTTGAATAAATTGACTGGTTACACATAGCCATAGCCTCTAGAGCATTTATTTGGTTTCTCTGTTGTTTGCATGAGTTTTCTCTGCCATAATTTGTATTCTGCTTCAATAATTTGATTTTGAGATCCATCATTCTGCAAATCTTCAATATATTTATTTGAAAGAATTATAATATCTTCGATGGGACCATTTTCCCTAAATAGAGAATCGAAACCTGATAAAAACGATCGATGAACATTGAACCTTTCTTCTAACTCTGTAATAAATTTGTCAAGATAAGGAATAAAAATTGATGCTCGATAATATTGTTCCGGAGTATTTAATGGTATATTGCATCTATTAGTTTGTTTTTTTGTTAATCTCGGAATTTTAATTTCAACATCAAAATTTGCGGCTACTACTTTTACTTCTTCAAATATTTCCTTGAAAACATCATCGGCGTGTATTCGGAGTTCTTGTAATTCTTTTTGTGTATCATTTGCTAATTGTACAGCCAATTTAAGATCGATATTTGATTTTTGTAGGAACTTTGAAAGTGGTAAACCTATACTAAAACCTTTTTTTAGTACGAATAATGATATCACAAACTCTATATCTAAAATAGAACTTCTAAGACGTCTTGCTTTATTCGAAGTATCGTTATCGTCCATTCCGAAATTGTATCCAATGCTTCAATGACGTACTCATTAAGTTCTAGAAAATCGTTTATTGCGTGAAATCGTTCTATCCATCTAGTTTCGCAACTTCTTTTCAAAGACTTTTTTGTTGATGTTTCTGATGAATTTTCAATATGAAATTGAAGAATTGATTTTCTTTTCGGAAAAATAAAGAAATCACGGACTTTCCCTAAAATTGCTAAACAGTCTCTTATTTGGGTCGCGCTACATGATTTAGATACTACCAGGTTTAACACATGTGCTGAACAGTGTACATAAATTGCTAAAGGGTGTGTGTCTTTAATATGTGCTTGAACGCCATTAAATTTTCCCGGCATAGAGGCTGCCCCATCATATCCCTGACCATAGTCGTGCGCACGGGGTATGCAGGGTATGTCGCTGCATAGTCTGCGGCTTCATGCGAGGGGCCCATATTTATTATTAAGTTAAGAAACTTTAAATTTAATTACCTCCACAGGAAATTTAAATCAATTAAAGCTTGATAGTAATGATATTTCGATGTTGAAGGAAAAATTTAATTTGAATACTACATTTGAGTCTGAAATTAAGCTCATTACAAATATGTTTGATAGAACTTCTATTAGAGGGTCATCAACTAAAATATTTTAGTATGGCTGAATTGGTTATCAGAAAACGACCGGAAAACAATATTTTCAAACTTCAATAAAGCTTTAACACAATTTGCAACAATACCTGTGACAAGCTGCTCGTGTGAGAGGGACTTTTCCAAATTGTCTATTGTGAAGTCTAAACTTAGAAACACTATGTTACAAGAACATCTTGATTCACTGATGTTAATATTTATCGAACAAAATATGGCATCAGAAATCAATATTGAAGATGTAATAGATGAATTCAAAGCATGTGTACCGATAAAAAGAAGACTTGAACTTTAGATTTTAAGTACTCTCCATAAAATAACAACATTATAAATATGTTAAAATTATTCAAAAGCATTCAATATAGTACATACTTGATCTTAAATAAATAATAAATTTTTTTTTTAATAAATATAAATCAAATTTCAAACTACTTATTTCTACAGTGCATTGTTTAATATTCTACTGTAAAACTATGTGTGATTTTAGATTCTAAGGGAAGTAAAGAAGCTAAGTAGTATATATGCAAAAACTTAGATTGTGACTTGAATCTTATATGCGTTAAAAGAAAATGCAAATAAATTAAGGGCAGATTAGAAAATTTATTTGTGAGGGGCCCTATATTTCTTATTGCATAACCTGCGAATAAAGTCTGCGCACGCCTATGCCCCTGACAATGTAAGTATGTTGTATCTATGCCAAAATTTTGTAGATTATCAATTATTAATTTCGCCAATCCTTTCCCTGTCATGTCAACAGCAGGAACAAATTGAAAAAAATCAGTTCAAGGGTGCTTAATTCAACATATCTGACACACAAAGATACCTGTTCTATACCCGACACATCAGCCGTTTCGTCAGCAAGAACAGTAAAACATTTTGCTTCGTTTATTCTTGAAACTATTTTGTTCAATAACAGTTTATTACAGGAATCAATTATTTCATTTTGACTAGTAGAACTTGTGTACTTAATGGTACCAGAACTTTCAAGATATGATCTCATATCACTATCGCCTTGGGCCCTATAGCGAATAATTGCCCTAAAATTACCATCATTATTTTGTATGTCATCTGAGCATGCTTTAAAAATGTTCCCAGAGTCACAATGCCCTCGTAGTGCCATATTTTGCCGACCACACAAAATAATTGCCTCAATAACAGGAATGATATTTATACGATTTTGTATTATTTCTTTTTTCCTTCCAATATCAATTTGTTTGTCTACTGATAAAGTGGGATTTTTAATAATATTTAAAAAGTTTTCTGAATCTAATATACATTTTTTATGGTATTCTATTTGCGAGTGATTTTTGAAATATTCTAATGCATGTCTCCAGTTGTCATATTTTTTTGTAACTAATGATCCTAATTTTTGATTATTAATTCCAGCATAATTTGTTGAAAAAGCTACACAAAATTTACAATACGCTCCATTGTCTATTTCAGAATACACTAACCAAGGAAAGCTAGCAAACCATTTATATTGGAACTTCAAGTGCCTAGCAGTTTTATCTTTTCCAACAAAAAATACTTTCACAGGAAAATTATAATTTACATCACGAATCCAAATTGCATTTAGTATATCATGTATTTCATTTTGAGTCAATACTCTTATGACGTAATTGAAAATATCGTGTCTATTTATATGGGACGTGGACGACGTAGGGATATCAGTGTCTGATGCTGAAACTACTGAATCTGTGTTATTTTGTATATTATCAACTTTTTTAGGTTTGAAAAAAGACTAAATATTGGGTTTCTTTTTAGAAGTCATAATTGTGATCTATTTAGAATAATAAATAAAATACATTAATATATTAATGTATAGGTACCTAGTGTATACATAATAATATCATTTTAATATTTTTATTTTACACGTTACATCAAACAATAAATAATAATATTTGTAAATTAAATTTGAAATTATAAATTAGCAATTACCTTACGTCCTTACTGTCTTGTTAAGTGTTTCGGTATTCATGTAGCGAATTAAGCAAATTTTATGTCAATGCCGTATAACAAACTGCAAATTTTTACGGCCGAACGAACGCACTACACAGAATGCCAGATGCCTACTATATGTCGATTAGTGGTGGGTAGTTACTACTGTATTCGGTACAATGTAACGATTACATTGGTGGAACGAGTAGGAACGAGTACATATATCGTTCCACGTTCGTTCCATCGGTACATTCGGTACAAAGTTTCCAACTACAGAATGGTCCTCTACCGTCACTGTCCGGGTACCGAATACCGATTACCGACGGTGGTCGAATAGTAACGAGTTGTCACGATAATATATTATACGTCTATGTCGTCTCGGTTTACTATTTACTTTACCTGCTGCTGTTGTTGTGTAGTTGTGTTGATATTTGTTGATAATCGTAGGGAGAGGGTGGTGGTGGAGGTGGACAGTGAATGCTATAATTATAGATATAATGCAAAATCATACGAGTACGATAATAATTTTATCGTGTTTTTATTTTTATTAAGAAGTTTAAATAAAATTTGAAGTAAAATTATTTTTAGATTATTGTATACACGGTTGTAGAATTATTTTTATGTAAGCTGTATAATAATCATAGGCATTATGCAGTATTGCTGTGCAGTGGTAGGCACTATATATCAGACGTGCGTGTTTATTGTTTAGATTGTTTAGACCTATTAATTTTTATTCATATTTTCATAAATATTATAATAATGGACAGAAAAAAAAGCGATGTATGGAATCATTATTCGGTTATTAATAGTGGAATGGCTAAATGTTCGTATTGTTCAAATTCGGTGTCTTATAAAGGCGGATCAACTACAAACTTAAGTAAACACTTAAAACGAAAACACATAATTCAATATGAAAGTAGAAAACATCCGCGTATTAATGAAATGATTGAACAAAATGTTGATGAACCAAGTAAGCAAAATACACCCGAAACAAATAATGATCAAAACCAACCTTCTACATCAATCAATGCAATTAATGTCATAAATAAATCTCGTCCCATACAAAAAAGTGTAGATTCGTATTTTATTAACAATAAACCACTTTCTGTTTCAAAACAAAAAACAATTGATGAACAGCTAGGAGTTATGATTTCAAAAAAATTCCAACTTTTCAGTTTAGTTGAAAATGTTGAATTTAAAAAATTCATATATTTATTAAATCCTAGGTATCAGTTACCATCGAGGAAAACTGTTTCGAAATCTATTTTACCACAGTTGTATGAGAAAACAAGAGAAAAAGTTAGAAATAATTTATTAAATGCCAAATATATTTCATTTACAACTGATGGCTGGACTTCCATAAATAATGATAGTTTCATTGCTGTCACTGTACATTTTATCGATCCAGAAGAGTGTGTTTTAAAAACATTTTTACTTGGATGTTTTAACATGGTGGAATTCCACACAGTTGTAAATTTGTCATTATTTTTAAATAATTGTTTTAAAGACTGGAATATAACAGAAAAAGTAAAAGTTGCTGTAAGTGACAATGCTGCGAATATAACATCAGCAATCGTCATGAATCAAAATTGGCGCCATATTCCCTGTTTAGCGCACACATTAAATCTAATTGCACAATCTGGACTAGGTGAAATGCAAAACGTTCACAAAAAAGTAAAAAACATCGTTGAATATTTTAAACGAAGTACAAAAGCAAATTTAAAACTTAAAAATGCACAAAAACAAATAGGATACCCGGAATTAAAGTTAATTCAAGACGTTTGTACGCGGTGGAACTCCACGTATGACATGTTTCAACGGTGTATCGATAATAAAGAACCTCTTATGAGTACAATTGCAATAATAGGTAATATGGATAATTTAGTACACGAAGACTTTGAACTAATAAAACACTACTGTGCGATATTTAAACCGTTTAAAGAAGTTACTATCGAACTAAGAAGTGAAAAAGGCATTTCGATTTCAAAAGTGTTAATTTTAATAAAAGCATTACATTTATATATAAAAAATAAAGAAAAAGAACCAAATTTACCAAATGCTATACATTTGATGCTTTCTAAAACGGTAATAAAAGCCAATGCTAAATTTGAAAATATCGAAAACCAGTCTATTTTAACAGAAGCAACTATTTTAGACCCACGGTTTAAAAAAAAAAGCATTTAATAATCAGTATACATATCAAAAAACATACGAAAAGATAGTACAAAAAGTTGCAACAATTATTCGTTTAAATCAAAGTCTAGTAGAAAATGAAGAAAATAAGAAAACCATACCGACCGATCGTGGAAACGAAACTTTTGAAATTTGGCAACAGTTTGACTCTCAGGTACATACATTATACATTGATATGATGTATAATGTATACATCATTGATATTTTGATATTTAAGTGATTTATAAAATTAGTTTATGATTTTTAGGCGTCTACTTCAACTTCAGTTAACACACCAACATCTGAGGCTATTGTGGAGTTGGATAGATATTTGAATGAACCTATACTGGACCGAAAATTAGATCCTCTTAAATGGTGGAATGACAGAAAAAAAATCTATCCAAATTTATTTGATTTGATGTTATTGCGTTTGTGTGTACCATCAACATCAGTTCCAAGTGAAAGGGCCTTTTCAAAAGCTGGCTACACCATTTTCGAAAGACGTAATAGATTGTCAACAAAAAACACGGAAATGTTGATATTTTTAAACAGTAATTATTAAATACTATTATTTAATTTTTAATTTTTATCTATTTTAGGCTTAGGCAAGTAACTAAGTTAATTTTAGAAGTTTGAGTTTATTTATTTTATTGTTATTATTTTTTTTTCTAGGGTAAAGTGAAGTAATTTTTTTTTTTGTATTTTTATAATTATTTTTGCTGAAAATAAATATGTTTATTATTTATGTGGTTTGTTTTTTTTGAATCTATAGTTTATTTAATATAATTGTAGCGACTGGAAAAATATTAAAACGTTGATAATTTTTGATTAAGCATTTCAAATGTATATTAATATAATGATTCATAATATTGTAAATAATGTTTACAAAAACAGTGTTTCTGATACAAATTTAATTATTTAAAGTTAATTTTTCCCGAATATAGTAAAATAGTGTTGTATAATAGGCCTACGAGCTACGAAGCATATTCGTTCATAAATATTAAATATCCATTTCAAGAATGAGTAAACATTTGAATATATGTATTTTTATCGTTCCGCGAGGAACTATACGAATGTGAGTACAAGTGTAACTAAAGAAAGAATGTACCGATTGTTCCGATGTAACGAGTATTTTGAAATCGGTACTTCATTGTAACTGTACCGATTGGAACGATTCCACGAAAGGAACGATAATTCCCACCATTTATGTCGATAACAGTCGGCGTACCTACTAATATAATCATATAATAATTATTATTATGTTACGTTGTTATCGTCGTCGGACTCGTTTTCGTCGTAATTGTCGTCATCGAAGGGCGACGACGCGACAAAAATAACCAAAAGTTTAACCAAAGTAAAAACCCATAATATAAAATTAATATTCTCTTTCTCGGTACCTACGTACCAAGTTTTTTTGACTTTTTAAATTTTTTTCTGAGGGGGTCGAGACCCGGGAACCCCCCCCCCCGTAAATACGCCACTGTTCCTGTATATAATATACACATTAGTGCGGGCGTCTTATTATCACGGCTTAAACAATCGAACCTGTGTATAGGCACGGGTGGGTTTAAGGGGGTGTCTAAAGGGGCATTAGCCCCCCCCCCTTGGGACTAAGCTATCTATTTTACGAAGCTAAGTATTATTATATATTAATAATTATAATAAAATATCGTCAACGGTCATTGATGGTACCTATTTTATATATTTTTTTTATAAATAAATAGCTCACTTTTGTTGTTAATTATATGTATTTACCTATATTTTAAAATGTTTTCAGATTAAAATTGATACCAATAATTTAACTATTTAAACTTTGTCATTATTGTGAAAAAAATGACTTACTTATGAGGGACTCAAAAACATATTTTGTAATTTAAAATTTTATATAGATTTAAAAAACCAACTAACTAAATTTTTAAACCTCCATTAGCCCCTTCCTTGGTTAGTGATAAAACCCACCCATGTGTATAGGTAACTAGATTCTAACAACTAACTTACCACCATCTTGATTAAGCAACTAAGGTATTATACACAACAAGTAACTAATCAAGTTGATTCAATTACTCATAGTATAAAGTGACCCTGTCAATTTAACAGTTGAGAATGACTTTTATTATATTATTACATACGATTGTACAATATGTAACGGAAATTGTAATTAATTGTCATCGTGTGGACTCGTAGAAAAATTATGGATACTTGTAAAAAATAACATCGCTTATAAATACTACCCTTTGAACAGCGTATAATTTCGTTATACTATTTGAAACCTAAATGTTTAATGGTTATCTATCGTTTAAATGCAATATAACATCTGATGTCCTGCAAGTAGGGATGTCAAAAAAATATCAATGTTTAAGTTTCAATATTTTGCATCGACGTGTCACGTTTACCGATGATTTAATTTCGATGTTTGCTTTATCTCCGATTTTCAAGGATATTACACAAAATATTTTTAAAATTTTTCATTTGCAAACAATAAAATATAGATATGTTGCGGGTAGAATAAGAAAATCGGGTAATGTACACATCATCTGGGTAATGTGAACATTACCCATGCCCATTGGATAAAGTAAACATATTTGTAAAACGTTTATTTTGTAGGTACAACAACCGGGTAATTTTTACATTATCTATCTTTGAATGAATAAAGTGTTTTCATAAAATAAAATATGACAAATATGAACTGTAGATAATATTAATAAAATACGATAAAATATAAATTGTATCTACATGATGATAAATCGTGTGCATTGATATTGTATAATAATTTTAAACTACATACGGTGCTATTGGTTTTCAAGTTCACTTGCTCGGTTTATTAATGTTTGGTCATTTAGTTTTTTTAAAAAAAACCTTGTCGTCATAAAAATAGAAATTATATGAAAATTATAATAAATAATTTAATGAAAAGAATGGAAATTTGGTAAATTTAAAGGAATCAAAATATTATAACATATTATCTGAAATAAGAAACACGAATAAAAACAAATAAATCATAATGAAACTTTTATAAATATTTTATAAGTGTCGGTTTCAAAAAAATCTTTTTGTGAAATAGCTAATGCACAATTTTTTTCGATGATCAAAGTTTTAAAAAATGTTTGTGTGAAAATAATCATTTAATAAATAAATGTACGATTAAATGTAAATCTGGAGAGATATTTTGCAACTCAAAATGCCTCAAAGTGTTCCAATAAATAACTTTATTTAATTTTTTAACATTTTTTATTATAAAATAATAACTTAATAATACATAGTTTAGGTACTTAAAATTTTTTTTTCGAATTAAACTTATAGCACACTGGATAATGTACACATTATACTATCCATATGAATAAGGTGTACTTTATCCGGATATTGTGTAAACTACCCATTTTTAAACTTTACCCATAACAGATATACGTAAAATTATAATTTAATATTATCTTGGTTAATAAAACAAGTTAGAATGACTATATATTGATCTTAATTCATAATAATATAGTCTTATCACTAGAAAAATAATATAATAGCCTTGTATTTCTGTAATACCTAATTATAGAAATAAACTCTTTCCCAAAAATAAATAAATGAAACTGGTTATGTGGAAAATCGGCATCAAAATTGATTTTTTCTAAACATCTTGGCCGATCAATTTTGGCTTCGATATGAATGATATAACTGATAACACTGTTTTCAATATCAAATAATGTATAAAAAATGTTGTTATAACTTATGAATTTATTGTGATTATATTTGACTGTGAACTTTATTAATTTAATTTAAATTTAATTTTTTTACACAATATTTTTTTTTTAATCTTTCTAATAAATAAGTAAATAAATTGAGTTGATTGTGTATGTTTAAATTGTAAATGTTTAAAATTAATTTAGCTTGTGGGCTATGGCAAAGAATAATAATTGTTTCCTATAAAAGGTATGTTTGATTTTTTAAAAAACATCGATGTTTTTCTAAATACATGAATTCTTGACTTCGATGGTTTTTTAATTCATCGATGTTTCGTAATAAATAAATCGATACATCGATGTTCACAAAAAGTTTGCCATCCTTACCTGCAAGGTGGAAATTTATCCCCATGGTTGTTTTTGATATTTTTATTTGATATTGGTTCATGTTTTAAATGTTGCCAACTTAAACTGTTTGCAGACAACTTTAAATTTTATCATATTGTTTTTAGTGAAAATGATTGTTTTACTCTTCAAGAAGATCTAAAAAGACTTTGATTGGTGTATTTTAAATAAATTAAAACTTAATGTCTCTAAATGTTCAAAAACATCGTTTTGTCGAGCGAAAAATAATAATTTAATTATACCTAACATTAATGATGATCTATTAACAAATGTTACTATTATTCGTGATCTTGGTATTACATTTCAATCTGATTTTCAGTTTTCCACTCATATTCACCCAGGCACGTAGCTAGGATTAAATAATTAGGGTGGCACAGTTATGGCCAATATTTTTCTTGAGTGGCCAACAGTCTTACTTCCCCCCACGGCCCCACATTAGACACTTATAGAATTATGTTTATGTATAGGTATATTGTTTATAATATAATAAAATTGTAATTTCTGAATATAATAATTAATGTAATTAGGTACAAAAAGAACTAAATTTGATAAATAAATAAATTAGATAATTTTTATCTTAATATTATATAAACCTTATATATAATGATTATGATGTATATGAATAATAAATATATACATAAAATATATGTTAAAATAAATACAATTTAAAAAAATAGTCTATACTAAAATAATTTTTCGATTAATATGATTTATAGCAAATTTATGTACAACTTCTTCCAAGTCCACAGATTTTGCTATCTTCTTTTCGATGCTCATCATAGATAAATTTGATAGGCGTTCATACGTCATTTTATTTCGCATGTATGTTTTAAGTCTCCTTAGGCAAGAAAAAGTCCTTTCGCACCCTGCACTTGATACCGGAATTGTAATAGAGATTATAACCATCTTGTATGTTTCATTAAAAACAATTTTATATTTTTCCAATAAATCAACAAAATTCATAAAATTTGTGATTTTTATTTGATTTTCTTTTTGGTAAATTTTTATTGTGTTTGCTATTATTTTAAGTTCTGATTTTAGTAATTTTGTATCCAATTTATAATGTTGAGCTAAAGGTTTTAGGTCATCATAGCTCAGAAAATAGGCATTTTTTGGATGTAGATAATCAATAGCATACAAAATACTGGAATTAATGGAAAATCGATTTTCTAACTCGTTAATAATTTTGTTTAAAATTGGCAAAAATAATTTTGTACGAAAATCATTTTTTGATTGAGCTTGTTCATTTTCTAATGATATGTTTTCATCAATAAAAAATGATTTAAACTTTTGAGGAACACGCTTTTTTCTTATTTTTTGGATTTGTTCACTGGGTAATGGTATATTATTTTCTTTACAAATATATAAAGCTTCTTCGTACATTTTTTCAAAATATATATAATTAATTGATCCATCACATTCGTTAAGACAGTCATTTGAATTATTTCTCATATTTGTAAGCGTCATAATTAACGATTTTATTAACACCATACTTTCTGCCATTTCGGCAATAACGCCTTGTAAAAAATCACTAACTTTT